ATGCCCAGGTTCAGGGGGAGGTGGGCCACAAACGTGACAATCCAGCCCATCTGGAGGGGGGACATGCCCAGCCACAGCGTGGCCTCTGTCAGCACCCGCAGGCCCCAGGGAGGGTGGGGAAATCCTCTCCAGGGACAAGAGCAAAGCCCTGGGGCTGGTTGGTGCCTTACCAGGTCCACCCGGTTGGACTTCCAGAGCGTGCGGAGGTCGTCAAACTGCTTGAACATGCCCTTGAGGTTGACGATGATGATGGCAGCCAAGATGGCCTAGGAGAGAAGTCCCTGCAGCCATGAGGATGCTAAGGGCAGGTCTTGGGAAGGTCCTTGGCTGTTCCCCTGCCACACCACCTTGCCATGGCAGGCACAGGGGGGGTACATGGCATGGAGGCTGTGGGGCCAAGCTGTACCTTGGGCAGGTCCCGGAAGAGCTCTCCGATCTTCAGGATAGTCACCAGGATGACCAGGGATGCGATGACACCGGCTACCTGAGAGGGGTGAGAGCGGGAGGCAAGAGGTGAGCCCCTCACTCTTCTCTGTGCTCCTTGTCCCCAGCCCAGCCCCATGGGTGGATGTAGTGCTGCCCAGACCCACCTGGCTGTTGCCTCCTGTGCTCTCCTGCACCAGGCTCCGCGACATGGAGCAGCTGATGGCGAAACACTGGAAGAAGCCTCCCAGGAAGTTGCAGAGGCCCAGTGCGATCAGCTCCTGCAGGGACAGAGAAGCTGTTGGGGGGCTCCATGGGGAGCTGCAAGAAGTACAAGCTTTGTTTTCACCCAGGGAAGGGGCCCTGCACATCAGGGCATCACCTGGTTGCTGTCCACTTTGTAGCCATGCTTCAGGGCAAAGATCTTGCCCAGGGAGATGCAGATGGCATAGCCCACCACGGCAATGGCGAAGGCATTGCCCACGACCTGCCCAAAGTAGCTGACGTTAGGGACCACGGGCGGCTTCAACCTACAGCCAAGACAGGGAGATGGGGCTCAAAAGGGGGGTCCCGCGGGCAGCTCGGTGCCTCGGCACAACCACCCTCACTGCCCAGCCCTGCTCACCCGCTGGGGATGTTGCCCACCACAGAGATGCCAAACTTGGCGTTCAGGTTGACGCCGTAGGAGATGCCAGTGGAGATGATGATCTGGGAGAGGATGGCTGGAGTGAGGCAGGGCTTTCCTGCATGGGGACCATGGTGGAGGAGGAGGGGAGGCATGCCCTGGAGCTGTGCTCGCCAAGGCAACTCATCCCACCCCTTTCCACCCCAGAGGGGACAGGGCCACCCGTGGCTGCATCCCCACAGGGAGCTGGGGCAGCTCTGGGTACCGTGATAAGCTCGATGGGGATGGGCATGGGCAGCTTCTTGGCAAACTTGTGGTTGAGCTCTTTCACAATGTAGATGGCCACCATGGCAATGATGGCCGTCACCAAGGTGCCCACGTTGGTCTCTGGCAGCTTCTGGCAGATCTCGATAAAGGTCTAGAGGATTCAGGAGGAGGGAACGAGCTCAGGAAAGCAGGTTTTTGAGGGCCTCTCTGTGCCCCGTAGGTGAGTGCCTGGAGGGTCCTGGGGCAGCAGCAAACCCCCACTCACCTTGAACAGGGAGAGTGGCCCCGAGTACTCGCCCAGGGAGACCCCAAAGACATTCTTGAGCTGTGAGACGAGGACGTGCACAGAGGCAGCAGTGGTGTAACTGCGCACCAGCGGGTCTGAGAGGTAGGTCACCACAAAGCCAAACTGCAGGAGGCCCAGGGCCACCTGGAAGGAGAGGTGGCAGGAGAAGTGCCCCACAGCTCCCAACCATGGGGCAACACAGCCCCCCATTGCCTGCCAGGTTGGGCTGGGGCCCCCTTACCTGGAAGATGCCTGACAGGACGGTGATGGTGGCCACCAGCTCCACCCTCGCGGCATCGCGCCGTTCCTCATTGACCATGGTGATGTTGGTGCCGTTGATGAACTCCAGGAAGTTCTCGCTGGGCAGCAGGGAGTCCGTCACACTCCCAATCATGACAGAGATGACAGCAAAGG